ATTTATTAATATCAAATGGCAGGTGTTTTGATAGTTATCATTAGCCCTTTAGTTGACTTCAGGCTTCACAGAGGGGAAGGAACATCAAAGTGAAAAAAGTCGAGAGGGGGGGGACAGAAGAGTGTTTCAAAGATGTGAAAGAGACAGACACGAAGGTAGAAAAAAGGTGAGGCGAGTAATGTGGAAGTAGTCAAATATGACATACAGTGGGGTCATGGTAGTTTGAAGTCAACTGCCGGTTAATAGACATTTTTGCTGCATGAGTGCACATTGCCCAGAGTGCACCACGTGGAGGTAAGTCTATCGCACACCCCACCTGATTAATCGTTAGTCAGTGCACAGCAAAGTTAGTTCGACGGGCAAATCTGATTGGGGATGCCGGATGCCAGATGTTTTTGCTTTGGTCTGGAGCGGTTTCACATGTAACCATTTGAGTGTCAAGACCTTTAGAAGTGCCTTTTTGAGTAATCAAATTACCTGGGAGCTGATTACTTGTGGGAGATGCAAAATTGAACAAAAATTATGAAGAACTAAATTCATAACAAATCATCTGGACGGTGATGAAGAGAATGTAAACGTAGTTTAATTGTTGAGAAGGCTTAAGTCCATGGGAAAACCCTTGAAGTTAATATTACTACATGCGAAATTTCACATGACTAAAACCCAAGGTTCTTGCTTTCTTAAGCTGTGTTATGCAAAGTTGATCACTTCTAATAACCCCAAAATCTATTTTTCTGAATGCTCCTTGTGGGAATTGCTTATCAAGGAAAAAACCTTTAACTACAAAACGTTGGGTTTTGTCTGTTAGTATCATCCATTCCAGTACGCTGTGAAAATCATTTCTTGAAGTCAGTTCGTCCTTATTCTGATTTTCGTATACGAATATTACGAAGAATTCTGGAGTAACCACACTTCTCTCTTTCTACTTTTACGAATCAAGGTTAACTGGAGTCCAGCACAAACACCATGTCGACTAAAAAAGCACACTTACTGGTCTCCAAAAAAACAATCCAAAATGGCTCAACTTTATAAAATCAGTAAAAGTCAAAGACAATCAGAAAGTTATTTAACAGGATGTCATCAACTACTTCCAACAAGAATTGGGATGATATTTCCTCTTAGTGAGGAGATTCAACCGGCCAAACACCTCAAACCTACGATCAAGAAGCACTGAAACCGTGCAATAGATGGAAATTTAATGGAAACAGGAGCAAACACTCTAAATGGTATGGAAAGTTGATACTAATGAGTGTTTGAGCTCAAAATATAAGCATAGACGAACGTCGCGTCTGGTTGACCGGAATGGAAGGAACACAAAAAAAATTATAAAACTACTTCAAGTCGACACATTTTTAGACTTTATTTAAATGGCAAAACCTGGGGGGAAATAATCCCTTGTTTGGAGCCTCACGCTAGCAATCGAGGCGACAGTAGCTTAAATAGTAACTGAACACATGTCGACAATTAAGACTACTTAGTGGTTGTTATTGCGATAGCTGAGAGTCTTCATTGGAACTTGCAACGAACTCCTGTTATCTGACTTTGTGAACGATCGCGTTAACAGGCAAAATCTGACCCTTAAATACTACCGGGGTGTTCCGAAAATCCTCCCATCTGAATGAACCCCCGTGGGGAAATATGCTGCCACTTTATTTTTTTCCAAAAATAGTTTCGTGAAATGCAATTTCGGAAAACCTCGGCACTCATATTAAAATAAAAGGAGAATGGGAGTAGATAGAAATGATTGAGTACTCAATATTTTGAAATTAAGCAAGACCCCACTCTAAAAGTGAGGTCTTAATGCCTTTCCTACTAGACCATTCGCCAGTATTTTTTTCATAATTTTCATATGATAAAGTTTTTTTAAATTTGCTTGAGTAATAATTCCAAGGCACCAGTTTTAATTCGAAAATTCACATTCATAAAACTTGTTATTACTGCATGGTTTATAATTCATTTAATGTTATAATGTTAAAAGTAATATTTATTCACAAATCAATGCATATAATTGGTAATTTCCTGCTAAATTCTCATTTAAGCCTATTTTGTACGATGGAATTACACAAAAATTGATCTTTGCAAAACATAGCTATCGGATTACTATATTATATATCGTGTGAGTGCTCGAGAAATTGATCAATTATCTAAAAATTCCAATCAATTTGCCTCAGTTGGATTAAAAAGTAATAATATTTAGGCGAATTTCTGTCAAACCAATGATTCATACAATTACTGCATATGGGAAATAAATTTTCAATTTCGGGTTATCATTACTACACTGCCAAAGATAATCATTAAAAAGCTATTTGAAGCTCAATCAACTTTTTCTTAAGCGGGGTGGAGCCATGATTGGTATCAATTTATGACTCTAGCGAGGCCTTATCGTCTGCGTAGTTGCCTGTAACCAAGCGCCAGCGGATTCTTCTACATCAGAAGTCGAAACTTTGGGTCAAACGGGCGTTCACTGGTGTGTAAGTAATCATTCAAAGTATACTCACACAACGCCAGCCCACTCCGCACACAGTTGTGAAATGCGCGCGTCAATCGATGAGCCAATGAAAGCACGACACGGAGATTCGTGCCGTTAGTGCGAAATAAGGCTTATTCATTCGGTCCCACTTGAGCCAATTCGCGCGCTAGGACTTCTCATACTTACGCACACATCTAGTAAATATTAACTACTCCAAAGAGGCTAGTGTCTTCTTAGACGTGAATCTCTTTGATAAAAGACTTTACCTTCGTTTCGGAAACTCTTTCGGTTTTCTTCACATTTCTGCTCCAATACTGCAACCCCAACCGAGGATATTTCTGGAATTTTATTTTTCGCACCTTTGTGCTTCCAATAAACATGGCTGTTCACCACGGTGGTACGCTTCTAACTTATGGTCTAATTATACTTTTATTATCTTATCATTTTCGCCTATTTTAACGATACTTAATCAATAGTCTCTTTCTTATATTCTTCTGCCTTTGAGTTAACAGTAAATTAATCGTTTTATGCGCACCAGAATTTCTCATCGTTTGTTAAATTTGCCTTGGAACTTATTTGAAAATACGTATCATCTTGAAAATTAACGAAACTTCACCAACTCGAAATAGTTTTACAACGTAGTTCACATAAACCTATTGACCTCAATGCGAGTATTTCCGGAGAAGTAATTCTATGAGACATTTTTTCTAGAATTGGAAAAAAATCAACATTGTGACTTTTTATTCGTTGGATCATGAAGACTCAGAAATCATGGAGCTCTTGAAATTAAAAATAGACATTATTAAAAGCTCGTTTTTTATTCTTGCGAATATCGGTCTTTATAAGTTTGTATTTTTTTATTTATTCTCAAATGAAAATATTTTTACACCCCTTCACATGTGAAATATACCATTTCCTCTTGATGAAATCTCCATTTACGAAATCTTGTGACAAAAATTACTAACAATAAACAATAAGGACACATCCAGACCTCATAATATGCCTTGGGAGTAAACCACACACCGAATGGAACTTTAATGCTGTTGACAGTGATGGTGCAAGAAAAAGATGTATACGAAAAAAGGGGGCAGTAGTATTTGATTGAATCAGTCATATTTATTGGCAAGGCGAATGACAAGGGTTTGGGCATGTGCGGTGTTATATGCAAATTATGTACTCTCAGGGCGTTCAGATATGTTGCGTGTTGGCACGGCAGGCCAACTCTTACACTGCATCAAGCTGACGCAAGCTCTGTTTGTGTGCACACACACACACACGGAGGCGTGCTCACATGCTTCCACGCACTTAAGTTCACGAGAGAAAATGCGCTTATTTGCTTTGAGATCGATTTCTTTCCATAAAGCCTTCCTTTTCTTCATTATCATAACCAAATTAGTAAACACACTTGAGGGCTACGTAAAACCATAAATGAATAAATTTTAAATTGATAATTACTAGACCTTGAGGAAACTCGAAGGTTATATAATAGATTGATGAACTGAAGAGCTATCACTGCGATATTAAAATTTCGATCCAAAAGAAACTGACAAAAGTTTCTTTGCCAAATCCTAGCTTAGTATTTCACTAATTTGTGTGCTACGAAATTAATGGCAATTTAAATTTCTTTAGATATAAAGGTGATTGAAAAGGCGTTGACAGACTACAAGGTAAGTACAAATTACATTATATTATCAATAAATATTTTCAATTAATTTTTTGTGTGGCACAGTTTTTTAATGTCTTTCTTTCCATAGCTCAAAGCCCAGGAGATGAATGTAGGTGTGAACTACATGGCTTTGGACGATGAACGCAGACGTCAAGAATTGCTCCTTCGTGAGTTGAGAGAAATTGAGGAAGAAATTACATCTCCGAGTCTACGTAACTCGAAACTACCAAATTTGGCTTCAGTTGTGGGAGTGAGTAATATTTTAGCGTCAGATTTCGGCTCACAATTTCTCAAAAATACGATCACAATCTTGCGCCGTGCTAATGAGTGTTAGCGTAAACGATGTATTCTGCATCGCACACTAAAATTGCTTTATTATTTGCGATATCATATGGCAACTCTTGTGAAAATGTACCACTACCAATTTATGTGAATTTGTTACAAATTTCTAAACCTCGAGGAGCTAATGCAATTACCAGACTGCTTAGTGTTAAACAGTCCTTTTGTTTTGTTTGGATTGTAAAATCTCAATATGTTTTATGGGAAGTGGTAACTAGTGGACACAAAAGTAATTAGTCCCAATATGTAAGCTACCTTTGGAATAGAATTTTCTCAACACCCATGAATAGATGAATTCGCACGCTCTAAGGCTCGAAATTAAAAATCGTTGTGCTTTACTTGCTTTTAGACTGAGCTAAGCCACAATTCAAAGTGTCTTCAATATTTGGCTGGAATATCGGAACTCGAACGAAGTATTGGTGACGTAACAACCCATTTCACCGAACGTTCAGTTGAACTCAGCGATCCCGGCGCGTTGAGCAAAGACGTTGTGACCTTTAAGGTAGGACTTAATTGATTCTTACAAATTGCATCAACTATGGAGGAGGTCATCCAGCCTAAGAACACATCCATTGAGCTTTGATACTCTAATGTCCTCCTCCCCTCCCTCAAACTTCATTCGAATTATTTCAGTTTTATCATAAGTAATGCTATTCAATCTTTTGTGCCTTTGATGCAATTTATTTCCAAACCATATTACTAGGTTTTGACTTTTTTTCTCTATTTCTATAGACACTCTCCGAAAACGTAAAGAGCTGCTGGTCATATGTAGATCAACTGACAACCTTGGCCCAAATCCATTTGAAAGCTTCAGCTGAGTACCATCAAGTAAGTGGACCCGAACTCATCGATAATCATTTCCACCTTCGCTTTAAGCATTTCAATATTCCTAAATGTATGTGTATATTTTATAGTTCTTTCATGAAGCAAATGAGATAGAAACTAAATTGGAAAAGCAATTGACTAATGCTCAGAAGGCTCTTAAGTCCGCAACAGATCGTCGATCTCATAAAGAAGCCTCAAAAATGGCCACCGAAATCAATGTTAGTCTAATGAGACACTCTAATTTCATAAATTTTCCAAACATAATATACATTTTTTTTGATATCTAGGAGCAACTTAATGCAATGCGCAGCCTATGGAAACGAAGCATGAAACTTGTGGAGAGAAGCGAGACGATAATTCCCATTCGTATTCGAATGGGAGGAGTTGCAAAAGGCATGGCCATTGGAGATCCAAGCAATCGCCCTGTAATGGTGAGAGCTTTGGTAAGTCTCACCGGTCCTGACTACAAAATCCAAAAAGGCGAAATCCTTCGTCTGATGGACAACCGACAGGATTCCCACCTCTGGAGTGTCCGAACGTCCACAGGAACTGTTGAAGTCCCCGGTGTTTGCTTATGGCTCATGAACTGCGATACGGAAGCTGTCGATCGAGCAATTAGGTAGGTTCAATTCTTTTTCTAATCTTTACCATATGAACGTTCCCAATATATAAATCATTATTAACAGCATAAAACAAAAGTGCAAAAAGACCTGGCTAGAAATAATCAATCTGATACGCCTCCGACTTTACGAAGTGTACTACGACCTAATGGAGCAATTCAATTCGCAAGAAGTAAGTAGCATAACAGCATTAAACAATTAAAAATTTATCGCAGTACATAAACAAGCGATGCATATTTTAATAGGTGATTTGCTCACATGAAGAGGCTTTAAATTCGCTTTTTGGAGATATTCAAAATCTCCTCATTACCCCTATCGGACAAGATGGACGACTGAAGTCAAACTTGAATACTTTTCGCCAGAAGGTTATCATTGCAAAAAGTATGATATTTTAATCTTGCGAATTTCACACACACATTTACCCGCTTATCTAAATTAGTCCTTTGTGTTGAAATTTAGGACTTGAACGATTGCAGTCGGGTGATATTAATCTGAGAGAATCTGAAATCGTTCAGATACGATCTCCTCTACTACGTTTGCATGATCACATCATAGCTGCAGATCAAATGCAACAAGACATGAAAAAAATCAACGATCACATCACGGAGTACCTTTCCCAAGTGGAGAATGAAAGAAGGCAAATCGAGAGCAATCTCGATCAACTGAAGTAAGTGTTCGCATATTCAATGTGACTACATAGGCAAATGATACCATTTAGACATTACCTTTATCGAATTCCAGTCGGATGAACAGAACGAGTGAACAACAACTGAAGGACATGATGCGGAAAATGGATAAGATGAGAGAGAAAATTCCGTATACCAAACCTACCGCTCGTATAAAAGTTGAACCACTTTTGGAGGTTCGAGAAGAGTTGCCAAGGCAAAAACGCAGTCGAAGCCAACCGCGAATGTCTGTTCTGAATGCTATTTCAAGTTCATCTTCGTCAGACAGTGAGACCTCGGCTGATCATTATGTTCGGAACGGGGTTGGAAGGCGAGCGAAGAGTCATATAGCGAAGGCGGATGCAATGGTGCAAATAGGTTACCAAAACAGGGCTGCTGAAGCTCAATATTTGAATGGGCAAATTGGTGTTCGGAAGGCGCACCCACAAAGTGACAAGTCTGTTCAAATTGTTCCTGTAGCACCTTTGCAGCTTTCTGCTCAAACACAAATGGGCTATAGCGTGAATACACGAGCAGTTCAGGTCGACGCGTCTACTATGGAGGCATATAACATGGAAGTGAAGAAAAATACGCGTTCGAGAACCATGCCAACTAGTTCGGAAGATGACTATATTTCCCAAGTTGTGGCTGGTGGTCTCCAAACTGCGCCCGTGGAAGAAAACAGGAAAAAGCAACGCACAAGAAGGTCACCTTCAGAAAAAATTCACGTTCATAGTTTAACACAGATAGGTATTGCTACAAGTGACAAAGCTTCGAGTCCAGTGAGAGAGATTGATAGAGCACAAACATGTACAATGTGTCAGCGAAGAAATCTTCTAGTGTCTCAAACGCAAGTAGGCCCACTTTATAGTGGTTCAGAGAGATACCAAGATTATCCCCTTCATGATGTAAAATCGGAAAATGGTCCGCACAAACGTGTTAATAAGAAAGTTCAGAGTGGCTATCCCTGTCTAACAGATCGTGCAAATCTCTACTGTCAGTGTGATGTTTTTGGGCCTGAACGAATGATTGAAGAAATGGAAACGGAATCCGCGATCTATCAGAATCCAATATCCGCTAGGCAGCCCAAGAAGATGGACACCTTTGCTCAAGTTGGTGTCCTCTACTCTAATGCCCGGCAACAGGCACAAGTTCCATTAACCGACACAATTTCTTCTTCAACTCAAGTGGGAATGCTATATGAGAGTCCAAAACGACGAATTGGACACGCCCAATTTCAACAGAGAAGCTCAACTGACCTGAGCTCTGCTTCAAACACGATTGAGGCCATTCAGACTGAAAAAGAAAGGTATGTTACTAATGTGGCGTTAGAATCTTTCGAACCTAATTCGACGATACAAGTTGATGCTCCCCTAATGAGAACTTCGGTGCAGGCACAAGGAATGAAAAAAGAATATTCAGATTCTAACGTTCAAGTCGGAAAGATTCGGTCACAGAATAGATACGCGGAGTTAAGTGTGGAAAATAAATTGGAGCCCATTGTTATAGATAAGCAACAGTCTCAATATGCTTTGCCACCTAAAGAGGTCCCAACAGGAATATCTCTTCAAGTTGGTCGTGAGCAATATGATGAAATTACACAGATATCAAGCATTTTAACACATGACGAGGTGCAAACACGTGAACCTAACTTACGAATACACGATCTCCAAGTGTATGATTCAAGTATACTTAGACCAAAACGGTCAACTTCAGTGCCCTCTGTTCAATATTCGTCTGAAACACAGGTTGGCCCTATGGTTATACATGAAAGCCTGAGCCCTATTGGTGCTTTTGTGGAGACAGTTAAAGCAACAGAAGTGCTTAACGTACAGGCCATGACAAAATCAACTAAGCACAAACGTATCCAGTCATCTTGCGTGCCCTCATCTCGAAATGTTGAAATGCAAATCGGTCAGCTGGTTCAAGAATCAGCCACGCAATCGGTGGTGGAGAATAATGATATCACACATATTTCGCCCACTATTCTGGCAGTTCAACAGAAGGCAATCTCATTACCTAATTTATTCGTAGCTGAAACTCAAGTACAACCAAATGTACGCGGAAAGAAGCTGCAAGTTTCTATTTCTATGGAAGAGCCCACTTTGGAGAAAAAGCATAAGAAACTGCAAGTTAGTGTTGACACAATGAAAGAAATGTACGACGTACAAGTTGCAACGTTACCAATTGAGCAAAAAGAGCGCTTTGATGTCAGTTGCGACACACAGATTCAACCTCCAAAGATTGCCAAGAAGGTACAAGTATCCTTAATGGATTTACCAGACATTCCGATGGTTGCAAATGCCCCGTTAGTCTATTCTATGCCTCCAGTGGATATGAAAGATACTCCTGCTGTCTCGGATGCAGTTTGTGAACCAATGGCAAGCACACAGTACTACGACGCGCAATGCCAGTGCCAGACGTTAACACAGGCACCAACACCAGTTAAAGTAGAAATGGTTAATGCTGGTTTACAAGTTTCCTCTGCTCCTCCACTTGTAGTAGCGGAACCTCTAAAGCCTGAATGTCGCGATACTTATACACAGTCTGATAAGGTGGCTGGTATTGGCAAAAAGCTCCAAGTAGCCATCGAATTTGAGCGACCGATATATGAAATAACTACCCAGCAGACGTATTTTGAGGACATTATTTCAATACAACAACCAACCATAATGCAGCCAGTGTATTCAGCACCACCACAGCCTAAAGTTGAGACGAAAGATAGAGCTTGTGAACCCCCTTCCCCATCTATAGCATTTGATGCAAGTGTGCAGGCTGCAGAGATAGAAGAACCCTCTAGAGACATTGTCTTCAAAAAGATTCAAGTGTCTCTTCCCGGTTTCGACGAATCTGTTCAAACAGAAAAAGTGGATAAGCCAAAAACAGTGGTTTTGGGCAAAAAGCTTCAAGTCACACCCACTGCCCTCTCCTTCGAGAGCGTACAAACGATCTTCATCGAACCAGTGAAAATAGCTGTTGAAAAAGAAAATCTAGTATACTCTGCACCTCCGATTATGGCACCGCCTAAAGTTCAAACAGATGACAAGGAATGTGATGCTCTAGAAATCCTACAAGCCTTTGATGCTAGTGTTCAAGTAGCAAGCTCTCATGAGAAACCACGTCCTACAGTAGCTGGCAAAAAGTTACAAGTCAGTCCGGAACCTTTGGCTTTAATTAGCTCTCTGGGAGACTGTAGACAGATCCCAGTTCTTGAAATCGCCAAAACACAGTCGACTCAAGCACCAGTTGAGCCACAAATTATTCAAGTACAAGAAGTGACTAGAGCATATGCCGCTTTACCACAGACAGTCAGTACAGAGGACAAGATTTGCGATGCAGTTCAACACATTGATAATTTCGATGCCAGTGTCCAAGCTGCTGAAGCAAAGGAAATAAAACCAATGATGGTAGGCAAGAAACTACAAGTCTCTCCAATTTCTCTTGATAGTGCTAACGCTCAGACAATTTATGAAGAACCTTCGCCAAATATAGTTCAGGTTAATCAAATTAGCAGACAATTTGCAGCACTCCCATCGAAGAATGAAGCCTATGATGTGGCTATTCAAGCAATTGAAGAAAAACCACAGTTGACTTTGAGGATCCAGAAAATACAAGCATCTTTGCCAATGGCTAAAATGAACGATAAATCCATTGATGCGTTAGAACATGTAATTTCATTTGATGCCAGTGTTCAAGTTGCAGGGGCTCCGAAACCCGTTATAAAAGGCAAAAATCTTCAAGTATCTTCATCTTCATTTACATCCGTGAAGCCGCAACGTAATGATAAGATCTTGCAGATTTCTCCAGCTTCACTCGAAAACACGTTGGTTCAAAGCACTCTAGAACCGATAAAGGAAACAATAGTTGTGCCGGCTCCAAAAGTGTCAACTTCTAATAAGGAATGTGAGGCTATTATAAAACTGTCCAGCTTTGACGTTGAAGTACAGTTCTCTGAAGTAGTCCCACAGAAAGTAGTATTTGACAAAAACATGCAGTCTTCTGCACCTCTCCTAGAAACCACAATAGTACAATCCGATTTCGTTGAGGAAGTGAAGATACCTGTGGTACCAGTTGAGAAAGCCTCCGTTGTGTTTGCCAAACCACCATCACCGCCAAAAGTCGTAACGACGGATTCTTCATGTGAACCTATTCAACCTAGTCAAACCTTCGACGCCATTACGCAATCAAGTCCCGTAGCTTTTGCAGAGCCAGTAGCAAAACCACAAATGTTCGGCAAGAAGCTACAAGTTAATCTGGTCCCTGATCTGACAGAAAAGCTAATTCAGTCAACTATTGAATCTAAACTCGATGCCGTCACATCCCAGACTGTAACAATAACTGATAAACAGCCTACAATGGAAGATGAGTTTACCCAATCAGATTTTGTAAAACCGCCTGAAAAGCCTATGATGTTTGGCAAGAAGATGCAAGTAGATCTTAGACCAAGCAAGCAAGATGATGTGGCTCAAACTGAACCATTTGTTATTGAAGCTCCTGTAATTGAGAAGGCACCTACGATAGTTCAACCTGTTTATTCAGCTCCACCTACATTGAATTTAGATATAATGACAATTCAGACGCCTAAATATACTTCGATATTATCCTACGCTCAATCGTCGGCTCAAGAACAGAAATCTAGTTATCATGAAGATGGTTGTGATCCTTTGCCAATTCTAGCTAGCGATGCCTTCACACAGTCAGAAGAAATGAAGCAAGAATCGCCAATTCCTGTAGTTGCTAGACATATCGCCCTTGTTCAGGAATCTGCCCCTCTAATGAAAACACAGTTGCATGATGTGGGCTGTGATCCAATACCTGAAGTGCCAAAATTGGGAAAGAAGACGCTAGTCACACCCCCTTCACTAGAGGTTGGACAGGGTCAAACCGTCTGGGTAGAAGTTGAACTAGCGCAAGTTATGTCCAAACGTGAATCGAATATAAATAAGACAACACAGAGTGATGCTGTCGTTACCTACGGAAAGAAATTGCAAGTCATTCCCCCACCCATGGAGGTTCGTGTATGTCAAACAGTGCCTTCAATTGAGTCATCACCTTTAATTTCAGCCGTTGAAGCACCTCCTGTTGTGGAAAAAGTGTGTGAACCTATGCTCAAAACACCAACGAGTGACTTCTCTGTACAGATGGACACTCCGGCTACTAAACCTCCTAATCGCAGTGTTAGAATTCAAAAGGGTGTTGGAGTTTTTGAAGGAACTCGCACAATTGCCACTCAGTTAGCCACTCCAGAACCTAGACGCTCTCCATTGTCCCCTGTTCTCGCTAGAACTATTGGAATTGAATGGGGTGTGCAAGTTGAACCTGTCAGAATGTCTGGTGTAACGCAAACTCCAGATTTGGAACAGCCAACGATACCAATCCCTAAACCTAGTATATACTCAAAGTCGACCCAAGCTGAATTTTTATTTGAACCTATTAAACCAATTTCTGAACCGGAGGCATTTGTTTCAGCTCCAATTCCGCCAAGAAGCTCAGAAAACCTGTTCTCTTTCGTCCGAGAGACTAAAACAAGGCTCACTGGAAGGTCTAGGTCAGGATCGTCAGGTTTGATACCTTACAAGACACAAGTCAATCAATCCAATAATCTTTCTGTGAGTGTTCCTGCAATGCTCAACATAAAAACAGATGTGACAAGTCCGGCAACAATTACTGAGGGTTGGGGGTACTCTAATCGTACTGCTTCTCAAGTACCTCGTCGATATGCTAGTCGATTTAGGTCCACTGCTAAGCGTGGTACATATGACAGAAGAAATAAATCAATGGAGAACATTTATGCAAGAGGATCACGAACCCTACCTCGTCATTTCATTAGTGACTCTGATCTTACTATGGAAAATAGATGGTTACAGCAGCAATTAGAGATGGAACAACGATGTGAAGAATGCATTATTCAATGTGTACGCTTGATCGGATTTGATAAGGTTGCGCAAATGGTTATGGATACAAGGTTACCAGGAGACCTTAGTCTGTTCGAAGACCTAGAAAGTTATCAGGCAAAGAGAAGGCGATTACAGAATGCTCGAACGCAATACACTTCAACAGCTCCATTGGCATGTCCATACTGTTATGACGGAGGTGAAGGTCATATTAATGGTAGACAAGAATGGCAGTTAGGAGCAGGTGAAGAGGAATTCTTCAACGGAGACGATAGATATGAATGGGATACTATGGGATCCTATGGTTCTTCTAAGCGTGGCACCTACAAATGGGTTACAAGAACGCCTATAATGGGTCATATGCAGGTAGAACCAACAAGTGAGGAAGTTGACCAACTCATGAAGAGTCGTGCTCTCAATGCATATTGTAGTGACTACGAATTGCAGCAAAGTGGTATCAATGCCAACTTTGAGGAGAACGCTGCATTCACTTTTGTGGCCTGGAAAACAAATCATGAAGGTGATGGAAAGCTGGAAATGGATACCGTCGGTCACTTACTCAAACTCACAATGGTTGGAGCGCGGGTACCAGGGACTGGAGAGGTAATCTCCGCAGCAGATGCATTCTACCGTGGTATTTTACGAGTCATATACATGGATGATGAACGGGGTGTCATACTTCCTCTGCCAGTAGCCATCAATGCTAACGCGGTTATAGTGGAGAAGCGCTTCTCCAGTGGTGTTGGTATTGCTTTCCAGTCATCTCGTAAGTGTCCCGTTGAATGTTCAGCTGTCTGGCAAACTCCTAACATGCGACGAAGAACATATCGCGTAAACTACATACGAGTGAGTGATTCGGAACGCATTCCAGTAAGCAGAGCCTTAAATGAAGGTATAATCGATAAATACAGCGGTGAAATTGTCGGCGTACGAGCACCGAGTTCATTAGAAATTGGCAATCCTCTTCTGCAAATTCGAGAATCTAGTGTAGGCACAGGTGAAACAATGGAGAGGAAACATCGTCCGGAGAGGTTCAATATTCGTGAAGCCATTCTGAATGACATCATTAATGTGGATCTTATTCAGCCCGAAGTCATCTTACTCCCCGATTCTGAAATGGATTCCGTGACCCCAGGAGATGGACGAAGAGAAGAGGATGGATCGGTAGGAAGTGAAACAAATTCAGACTTGGAAGTTTAGGATGACTCGTTAGTAGAGAGATTACTGTACTAAAACCGTTTCTAATTTTCATGCACACAGTTTAAAACCAAGCACTCCTACACGATTTCCGGCCTAAAAATAAGTTATCTCCAGTATACACCAATATGCTTGGATACCATGTTTGCATACGGCTTTCTTTCATTTATCTCAAAAACACCTAACCTGGTGATTTTCCTCAACTTCGATTTATCCTCCTATGTATGACTTTATGAATTGTGAAGAAATCGTTTATTACTTTTCTTTTGTGAAATATCTATTTCTTCTTCTATTATACCCTCAACTTATTGGACTGGTCGACTAGTCAGTATAAATAGGTACTTTATAAATTAAATTAATTGAAGACACAAAGTATATTCTTTGTGTTGATTTATTCAATTTGCTATCAGATCTTTCAAAACAATGAATATTTTAGATCATTACAGCCTAATTCTGCTTGCCTACAGATTTCAAGAGTATTGATTATCAAATATGCATTCATATACCTGATCTCAGTCATTGTGTGAGATACAGGCAGACTTCGAGACTGACTCGCTGCAGCGTTCTATAGGTGTATTTGTGTTCAGATCGATGTTAAGTCCGCCCAATGCGGTTATGGGCGATTTGCGACCCTGGGAGTTTCGAGAGTTATTGATAACTCCCCAAGGGACACCTTCATACATTACAAGTATGAAACAAACAATGTGTTGTGTCTGTGTTCTACTATGAAGTTATCAAGATTTCATAAGATAATCACAGTTAATAAGAGCACGTTGAATTTTGTGAAAAGCTTATATCGGTTCATAAGTCGAAGATAATTTAATGGTGGGATGGAGGATATTTTGCATTATTAAAACAAGATGATAGGCGTTTATATTAATCCCATAAAAAGAACACCTTAGAGCTCCTTGCAGTTTCATCACCTACTCTACTTGAAATATCGTTCGCAGTAGCCAAGGTATTATAGCTTAGTTTGTGGGGCACACAACGTTCTCAACCCCGGACATGTAGTCTTATACGCCCCCTGGCAGGCGTTAAGGTGTGTCATGCAATTCCGCGTTGAGTGTAAGTGCGGCATGAGTGCGGAACAACTCGCATGGTTGATCAAATCCTCCATATTAATATAACGACTAAGCCTCCTGTCATTACACATATACCCATAATGCGTCTTTTTCCTCTATAGCTTTGTGGTAGTTTTAGCTAGTTCTGAGAGACTTTCTAAACATAGAAGAATCTGTCATAGAGATTTCTGAAGAAATACAACTCTATTTTACTTTCATAACTATTAACCCAAATACAGTCCCAGATAAATAAGATATGTGGCCCTCATTTTTAATGCTAATTTTAATAACAAATCAACAAACATTTTAATTTCATCCTTAATAATACCCACTTGTGTGATTCAAATATATTTATGATGACTCAGACGTTTGTAATTAACGGGATTCGAGTGGAATTTTAAAGTTTCTTTCATGTTAATCTTAAAATTTTATCAATATTTTTTTCAATAATTTAGCTACAGGAAGTAAGAATGAGGGCATAAAGTCAAATTAATAGTACCCATGATTAAATGTGTAGTGGATTGCTTTACCAATAAGCCTTGGCATTTGCTCACTAGTCTCTATGGCAAATTAGTCTCAACAATAAAGTGAAAACAGGCATGCAGTATGGAACACGTTTATTTGAGATTTGTGCTCGTCACAGAGTTAGGTCATGTAAACACCATGAAAAACTTGTTAGACAAAACAAGGACTATTGATTGGAGGTTGTCTGAGAGGTCTCTGCACTCGCGACTTCACTTGCTCCTTACACGACATGTCTGTGAGAACGATCATGAGATTTCTTTGTTCAGCAATGATAACGTTTAGCGCTCCACACGTTTTAATACAGTAATCGTCTAATGAATAACAATAGGAATTATTATTGCATTACCGCTTACACATTCGTGTAACAGTGCTATAGCGATGAGTTTCCATGCCTTTCACGGTATAGATTACAGGAACAAAACGAACTGATACCAGTCGTGTAGAATGCTAGATTTTGTTTAAAGAGTTTCGGATACCCTTTCTTTGCTCTAAGTAAATCGTTACCAACAGCTTTTTACAAATCAGAATAATAAAATAATAATACCATTGTGATAGATTTGTTAAAATTGCATTTAAATAAAGTTAACAATCCAAATTTAAATCTAATACATGGGGAATGTATATTTTATTCCATTTTTAAAATGTGAACTTTTCCTCGTTTTTTAAAACTGGATAGTTTTCTTGCTTCGACTAAATGTTATGTTTATGGGGTGTGGGATAGACTTACCTCCACGTTGTGCACCCTAGTCAACGTATATTCATACGGCAAAAGAGTCTATTAACCGGCAGTTGAATTCTCACTTCGAACAACCATCACCCCTGCTGTACGTCATATTCGACCACTATCATAGTACTCACCTTACCCTTTCTGAATCTTTGTTTCTGTCTCTTTCTTTTACATCTACGAATCACTCTTCTATTCCCTCTACGTGTCTGTCTATCTCTTTTGCATCCTTGAATCACTTTTCTGTTCCCCCTCTTGAATTCTTCTCACTTTGATGTTCCTCCTCCCCTCTGTGAAGCCATCTTCTCACTTTGATGTTCCCCCTCCCCTCTGTGAAGCCCTCTAAAGGGTTAATGATAACTATCAAAACGCCTGCCATTTGTTATAAATAAATAAATGCTATGTTTATTATGGATGCAAACTGGAGGGGATAGTTGAAGCTATTCAAGAAGCAAGTTCTTAAAGAATTTTTTGAGAACTTCCAACGAAATTATTATTATTATGTAATGTGAAATAGAAAACGATGACTCACCCTTGCGCTTACAAACTGTGTAGCATTAATAAGGCGGTTCTCACATTTCGAATTTCACATTTAATTGCGTCTTTTCCGACAGTCGGTTTGCATCACCTACAACTAATTGGAATGGGGTGCCTCTAACCCTACCAACTCTAAACAACTGAACTAGCAACAGGTTTAATAAATGGAACTCAGAGATACGTCAGTAAATAATTATCTACACAGAAATTGCAATAAGGCAAAGTTCTGGTAATCCTTATTTTACAATAGTAATTATAGTAAGAGTTACTTAAAAGCCAATCACTGTTTGTGCTTCATTCATTCCTTTATCGAAATTTGTATCTAAGACCATAGAAGAAATAGCATGTCAAACCCTAGCGGCACTTTACACTTCAAACGAACCTGAATGTTCCATTTTTTTAAGAATTAGGCGAACAGTCACCAGTCTTTCTTATTTCAAATGGCGGGCATTGTGATAGTTATCATTAGCCCTTTAGTTGACTTCGGACTTCACGGAGGGGAGGAACATCAAAGTCACAACAAGTCGAGAAAGGGAACAGAAGGGAAAGATTCATAGATGTAAAAGAGGCAGACAGACAAAAAGGTAGAGAAAAGGTAAGGTGAGTACTGTGAAAGTGGTCGAATCTGGCATAAAATAGGGTCATGGTAGTTTGATGTCAGAAGTCAAGTGCCGGTTAATGGACACTTTTGTCCAGGACGCACCAAGTGAAAGTAAGCTCATCACGCACCCCTTATTTATTTTCTAAATTGTAATGAAAGTGTATAACAAAAGTTTTTTAAATTCAATTACCACTACAGTTCATATTCCAACATCCACAAAATTACTTTCGATATCGAACTTTCTTAGCTGAGAGCATGACGTCTCACTTTCGTTTATTAATCAATTGTTCATCTAATTGCTTTATTTCTTTAATTCACCATTTATTCTAATTTCATGTTATACCTCAAACGATTTCATTACAATTTAAGTAGATCTACATGAACTCACCCGTGAGTCAGATTGACATTCAACTTTCTATTGCGACTACTGAAATACCCACACCCTCATATTCACGTAAGTTGTTGGAGATTTCCAGTTTTTCGATTATTTTATAAACTGTGTTCGGTCCTTATTTCGGTTACTTCAAAATCATACCACTTCTTGCGCTCCTGTTACCGGGGTTTCCCGAAAGTTCGCTTTTATTCGGATGGGAGGTTATTTGGGATTAAAAGTGAAAAGACAGTCTTACAGCTTTTCCTTATTTGGGTCTGAAGCGCGACTCACCAAGTGGGCGCTTAATCGGGTTGACGGTTGTCTGGTTCTAAAAAAATAGTTTCATGAAATGAAACTTTCAGTTAAACCGCCATCGGCGGATCCGGTTCGGATACGCCTCATTAACGTCTATTTCGTAGCTCTTTACTTACATCACAACCTAGGAGGTCGAAAGAGACGAGATAGTAGTAAAAACGGTGCAGTAATATCTATTTAATGACATTGTAATACATTTGACAATCATCTAAGTAATGTCTCTTGCACAATCAACCAGCATGTCTCTGACTGAATCTAACCGTAATGAAATAATAGGTAAAAAATTTTAAGTAAAGTCTTCGTAGTTCACATATGACCTTGAGATTACTATTTGGATGAACAACGAAGAACTCCACTCACTCAAATGATTTTTCTGACAGACACTGTGTAAACATGGCGGACAGGACGGTAAGTCATGTTAATTTTTCGTATTCCTTCATGCATCACAATGAGCGCACGATTTCCCTATTTTTATAAATGCGACTTTAGTGTGATTACATTACCGCTATGATTCTTTCAAGCATGAGGCCTAGTAATTACTATTGATCCCGATTGTGGAACTTATGTTAACTATAATAAAGGAAATAGCTAACTGCTAGACTGTTCGACTGGTTGTTTAAATTAAAAAGAAAAAAATTAACAAACTAAATTTAAGCTACAGAATCAACAGGCCAGCTCTTTTTATTTAAGTATATAGTTCGGCTAGGTTTATCTGATCTTTGTGACATGCTAAATATAATTTGCGGTTTCAAAATTATGGCTTGTCAATAACGAGACCCTATTTGCCAAGACTAAAATTTCACTTACGCGTTTACCTTTCAGTTGCGATTGATGTTCCCAAATAAGCATGTAAATTAATTGGAAGATTCGCGAATCTGAAATTTGTTCTCATCGTTAACAAGCACCTGGAAATGCATTAGAAAATCTTTGTGAGGGGGAATATAAGAGGTAGATGAAATTTCAGTTGGTATTGGCTGAACTATCATCTTCCATGTGCGCTTTTCAAAAGCCTTCAGCTCTCGGTCTTGGAAATATTTTGTCAACGATCAAACAATTCCCCACGGTTGTATAAGTCTGGCAGACTCGAGCACCCCGTAGAATATGCAAGAATGTATATCATTAGAGAAACCGGATACAAATCCCGCTTAAGTATTTATTTCGAGTGATTTTAATCAAAATCTAATTTAAAAAACCACATATTTGAAGCAGCTTTAGCCTCGATAGCTCTGTTCCTTTTTCAAGCATAAATGGAGAAAGTTTTTGGCTGAAATTCCATTGGTCAGAAATATTATTATGGCTGAAGTTGACATTTAATAAGTGCAAATGATATTTTCAACACTTTAAACGGTCTAGGGAGGGTCGATCACAATTCTTTGTACATTTACATTCAAACTTCCCGTCTATAGCATAATGGCATTGATTGTATAGTAAGTAGTTATCAAGCTCAGTGAAACGTGCTGAGGGAAGTTTTATATACCTAGGTAAACAAGTTCGGCCATGCTGTAAGTGAGTACGTCTGCGCAGACCAAGGCGTAGATTGTTAAACGCCCGAGCTCATGGGCCAGCACCATATATTCTCTATATTCTATTGTTAGATTTCAGATGAAGATTTCCGTAAGCACTTTCGGCCATTTTTATCGGGTAAATATCACCCGCTTGTTGAAAAATATGGCAAAGTCTTGAGCCAAGCAATGGCTTGTAAGGGGGAGGAGAGGAAATGGCGTAAGGAATTTGACAAATTGGAGACAGATTTTGATCGTGCATTTTTTATTTTGAAAGCCTTGGAAAGTTTTAATAAGGGTAAGTACCCAGAACAAATTTGATTTTATTAAAAAAAAAACAGCATGACAAGTTATCATTAAATTCCACAAATAGAAGAAAAGGGAATATGTGTACTCGGTTTACCGCCAGCAAAGGAAGCAAGTAAATTTCTGACAACCGGGAAGTCAGACGCAATCGCGAAGAAGTGTCTTTCAATGTCAGATAAATTTTATCGAGAACGTAATTTTAAGAGAGCTTTGGTTGCCATCAATCGAGCGTATTTCGCAGCTGTTTCGAAGGAGGTTAAATATCACGTTTTACTAAAACGAATACGTCTAATTAAAAAGTTCAACGTTGATGAAGTACTGGAAGAGGAAATTGGTTTAATAATTAAAAATAAGACAAGCAATGAAAAAACGCAATCAGCGAGTTCTGTAAGGGAAGACATTGAAAGAATAATTGATTTTCAACTTTGCCAAGGTCGTTGGATTTCTGTGAGTCCTGACTCACCTAAATCCTTGAACGGCAAAACACTTGACGATCCAGTGAAAATGGAGCGAAAAAAATTCAAATTTGTGCCCATTAATGATGATTCCGAGCAATTACGAAACGAGAACTCTGAAATGAAATATACAGCAGTGGCTTCAAGAAATATATCTATTGGTAGAACAAAAGTGTATTTTTTAATAGTGTTCAAATCCTATTTTAGGTGAAATAATTTTATCCGAAAAACCATTTGCATCTGCATTGAATCGGCCATACAGTAGTATTTGCTACAATTGTTTCAAACGATGCATTAACATTCGTCCATGCCAAGGATGCGCATATGTAACAATATTTTGGCTATTGATGAACTTTGACCTTTAGGTTGGATTTTGTAGTGATAAGTGTGCTAACGATGCCAGGACTCCCATTGGTCCATCAAATGGTGGGTCAGGTCGGCATGTGCACGACTGTGGTGGAATATTGCCCTGCCTGCGTGTGGATGATCTCTTTGAGAATGATATATTCATGGATCAGGGTCTAGCTCATTTGGGTTTCAACTGCATCGCAAATACTCCTGCAAATATTCTACTAAATTGTATTTGTTCCAGTGTGGGTGTGGTAGATACAAATTCTTGGAATTTTTTTAAATATTGCACAATAATTTTTGGGAAACATTAGTTTGAACCTCAAAATGTTTATTTGCACCAGCCTTTGTCTCAAACGAGTTCAACAACATTCAATACAGTTGTTTCTTGTACATCTTTTAGAATAGTGACCCAAATCAAGAAATATTCAAGTGCACGGGGAATTCTTTTTTTTACGAATCCTCTGATTATTCATCCATCCTTTACGGCCAAGCCTCCCTTGGCGCTGCCCCCAGAGAACTAATGTGGAGATGCGCAGTGTTGGCTGTTTTTATAACATATATTCTTTCTGTAAGAAAACATGCATATTGTCATATCGTAAAATTGTGTTTCAATTAACAACGACATGTTTTTTTCTAAATATAATAATTGGGTTAATAACCTTCTTACCACTTTCAGATAACTGGCTATCCAATGAAATGGTTTTCTGAAGCAAGAGAGCACTTCTATTCCCCGCCATCTTCAACAAATCAGCCAGATTGGATACCTGCAAGCTGGATCGTAGCTCAAATGATCACTCACATCGCATCTAATAATTTCAATTCCAAAGGATATGTAGAGTATTACGAAGAACGGAAAGAGCTGAATGCAAATTCCAATAAGATTGGTTGTTGTGTATATCCCATCATCTCCCTCCTTAGCCATGATTGCAATCCGAATGCGTGCATTGTGAACACAGCTAATGGTTGTGCCTTTGTCTACGCTCTTCGAACCATAAAGGAGGGTGAGAAAATTTCCATCACATATGGACCTTCCTATTTCTCGACTACGTCAGCTAATCTTCGTAGATTTTATCTTCGAGAAATTTTTGCTGTTAATTGTTCCTGTGAGGCGTGTAGGACCGATTGGAGCCTAAAGAAGAGAGACTTTGAAATTCTAAAGTGTCCTCTTTGTGAATCTAGTTTTAGATCTAACAACGAGAAGTGCTTGAGTTGTAAAAAACCAAACGGTTATTGGATGTATCAAAAAATTCTCCATGAAAGAATACCCTTTATTAAAAGTGCACTGAAATTTAATTCAGGCATCGGACGCGAATGCGCGCCCGAGGTTATAACTGCAATGGAAGAAGTTCAGCGTCTTATTTCATCTCCTAGTCCAACAGTTGCATTTGTACTGAGTGCTGGCATGCAGGTAATTGAACGTACGTGCGGAATTCGATTTACTTTTGTGATCTAATAATATCATTCATTATGTATACTTTTTCAATACCCTGTCTTGCTTTCCAATTTCAAAACTATGTTGAAATGTCTGTCAACACTCCGCTTGGTTACAAAATTCGTTGCATTTTTTCAAACAAATTGTTATTGCATTTAGGCCAAAATTAAGGTCAAAGTTAAGAACGTATGTATTACATTGGAGGATATGGCTTGGGGCATAAGTAGTTCCAGTCTAGCAACCAATTGACGATAAATACCGTCTTGAGGGTAACCTTTCTAAATTGTGAACCTTTTCATAAAATCAGCTTGTCTTTGCTATGTAACATACGATTAGTCGTATCATTCTAGGTTCAATCTTTAGTTCGAATGTGACCATCATAGATATGCTCAAAATGAACGCCTGTTATATGCTGGAAAAGATGGTCATTCTCAAAACTATGCTTCCAACTATCTGAACTTATAACGACGACTTGGAAATGATGAATGTAGTCAGAGCAAAATTGGACCTTTCTTTGTATCGTCGAATTTGAACAAAGAAGCTTACTTAACAGCCAGTGTAAATGGTTGCTAAAACAATTTATACAGAAATTTAAAACCCGTAAATTAACTGGCCCAGAGCAATGAGCTGTTCTCACTTCAGATACTTCTACCACTGGCTCTATGACATATTCGAAAGCTCTCTGGAGCCAACAAATTATGTAACTAATATTGATGTAGGGGTTTGAATAAGAGACCTTGATTGATGAGGAATTAAATCAAATTATCAATTGTATAGAAGTACGTGTTGGCTTACACGCGATAGACTAGTCAATAGTGTATGTTCAGATCTAACAAAGTCTACCTATCATCTTATTAAATGGATATGTTTATAAAAGGAGTGGAAAAACAGAGGATAAATGTCGTCCGTAGAGTTTATGAAATTATTTTCAGGCCAAAACGCCTTCGATTTAGACTCATAAACAAAGAAACCTATTGTCGTTTAGAGCGTTTAAGAAACAATATGAGATAGAATTTAGGAAATTGTATAGTGGGTTTTATGATTCTTGAACGAAAGTTTACCTAATGCATACGCTATGCTTTAGTATTGCAAACTTTAAGATAAAATGATCAGTCTTTACAATACTTGTTAGTGTAAAAAAGACGCTTTTCTTGTTAATTACTTCATCATTTATTTACAATTATGTTCAGGAATCATGAAAGATCATCAAAAGCATTGCACATCACGATCTAGGTAAATAAATTAACCAGAATAATTTGAAAAAAAAACAAAAAGAGATGAGAATAGAAGGAAAGAATTGCAACAAAAAGAGGGTTGGAATGACTAATCTTCATCTCCAAATGGATTAACCGATTTCTGCGGCCGTGATTGGTCGACTAGTTTCTGTTGATTTGATTGGGACAATTTCTAAAATCCCGAAAAATACAAGTTAAGAATAAATTAATCAGAATTGCAGCATAGCTATGTTCTCTCAGCCAAACTAATACAGGAGGTGGGTTAATGTAAGGTGAGTTTTATCAAAGATACCACTGGTATAGTTATTTCCTGTTCATTTTCACTGCACTAGCCTTGTAAATCCAACGACCCTTCAACAAAATCGAGAATCACAAAAATACCCTCAACAATGTCTCTGCTTCGAAAGTGAAAAAGTACTTAGAGTAGTGTAGTGATTGACGTGTTAGTCTGTGTAGTCATATTTCAATGATTCAATGTCCGCCAATGGACACCCAGTAAGCTGAATGACCGACAGCAATGGTGGATTTTGGCCAATGGAGGATATGGCAAAATCTGAGTCTTGTATCATGATGGTCCAATGGTTTTTATTATTATTAGATGCAAATAGACAGCTGATTGGGCGATCACAATTTTAAACTTACTTCGCTTATTACATTATTAATTCTACTTTATTAGACACCTACAGCTCTATTGTTCTTATCGTTACTCAGCATGAAGTATTAGTACTAGTATCTTAGGTCCTTTAAGAGGCCCGCTTTGGAGTTATGGCACGAAATTGAGGACTTTGAGTCTCTAGTAATAGTTCCACAAATCGAATCTTGAGCTGATGATTCTTACGAGAATATAATTTTCAAGTATTCAGAATTTGTCGAGAATATATATATGCCTATTCCTTCAACCGTCCTTAGCTCACTAAAAGACAAAACCACCTGCTTCCTGATGTGTATCTTCGGTCATGATTTCGTTAGTCCAATTAATAAATTGAACTAAACTGCAGTGAGCATGCATCTGACTTACACATCTATGATAAGGCTGGGAGATTTCTATCTCATCGAAGGCATCGAGTAAATGCTGGGGTGGAATGGGGAGTGTCGAGTGACTATTCGCTTGACTACTGCCACGGCCAGAAAGAGGTGGAGGAGCTGATGAATCGATAAAATTGTTACACTGGAGGCAAATGTATTTTTTATCTTCGCTAAGAACTCCCGACATTCGAGTTTTCAGAAGCTCACAGTAGATTTCATAACAGTCGACGTGTACTCCATGCCCACACCTAAAATACCAACAGGATTTTAACACCAAGAGGAAAAATTATTTTCAAGATACTCAGCGAGCAGCATACCACAGCACCATTATTTCCAAAGAGGAGGGCATACGTTGCGCAATAGTGGTAAAGCCGCCGGTGTATAGATCGTAGGTAACCGTCGAACGCATACGCCTGTATCTTAGAGCAAAACCGAGTCCACAGAGGGCACAGCTATAGCGTCGCATTCCAACACCTCGCTTCAATGCAGAGACAAGAACTTGCTCACTAGAGCTAACGTCACTGGTCATGAGTCGATGGCAATCTTGCATTAACTTCACCTCTTTATGCCACACACCCACCAATTGGAGTAGAAATTTATTGGTCTCAGAACCTAAGTTGGATACCGATTTGTCAGAAAGCTGAAAAGAATAGAATAATAGTTTACTTATAAAAATACAGTAGCAAGTTTTTCAAAGAACTAACATGCAGAACCCGGTTAATTAGAGCCGGAGTTGGAACATATGGATTAGCAGATTCAAGGAGTTTATGAAATAGAACGTTTAAACGTTGAGTTAGTTGCTCTGATAGGTTTCCCTTTCTCAAGTCCGAGAATGTATCGATTATAATGAACCATGGTGGCTAAAAAAGAAAGAAGGGAATTAATTTACCAATCTGACATCACTGTAGAAAATTAATCATCATACCTCATTATCAGATGATCGCTTGCTAATGCACTGGCGAGCTGCGAAATCGAACCACGTTTTAGCGCTAGCCATGAGTTCTTCGGGAACCGTTGGATTTTCCACTAAGCAATTGTCATTACCTTTAACTAGAGACTTCCAGTGTTCAAGAAAATGCTTGAAAAATTGGAGACAAAAACGTGAGTACGCGAATAGTTAGGCAAGAGAATACAAAAGAAACAAACCTTTTTTAAAAGTTCCATCGCTTTTTCTCGGTCGCCAATCTTCTCATAAATGCAAGCGAGTTCTTGGGGATGAGATTTCTCATCCAAGAGCTGCAATATTACAGGATTTGTTAAATGGAACATGAGGGTAACAGGCATTCTTCTGATAAAGTTATTTCAAGCGTACCTCAAGTAGAATAGGTGCTCGGTATTCACAATTTACTCTAAGGAAATTACAAAGAGAATGGTGGTTTTCCTGAATGTCTGCAACTTCAACATTGGTGGATGCAAGCAAGAGACGAAAGTAGAGTTCAGCAACTAGAGGATCGGACTTCGAAAGGAGTTCGTCAAGGAGTACACGGAGACTAGTATCACCGTTTACTCTGGCAACTGCGTGTTCACGTTCCGCCTCTGGCATTTCAGAATGCCTGAAACAGCAGTGTTAATTGAAGAAGTTTCTGCCATTTAACTTATGGGTTCAAACAGGTGTTGAATTTTTGCCTCGCTATTTTTACATAACGTCTGACGCAGAAATAAACACTCAAGAATTTAGTCTCAGACTAACGAATAAAGTGGGGCCTTCTGGAAATTTGAGAAAGCGCAGAATTTACTAATGGCCTATGAACAAATTAGTCCCTTCTGATGGACAAGACAATATAGTTGATACTCAATTGTTTAAAGAGCAGATTACTTCATCTTTCATCAGCGAAACGGATAAAAATTTAAGAATATCTAAGCAATTCACTCTTCTCTCTATACCTCGAAGCGAACTTCATTCAAGCAACTCCAGTGACAGCCATATGTCGGTGTGTCCAGACCTTAGTCTCAGCAAGGAACGGTATCTAACGAACTGAAAACAGATCCAATGGAGGTCTAACCGGCCACATGTGGCCTCCCTGCGCATGGGAATCCCGAAAACGTGGGGACTCAGTGCAACCATTGTGTGTGTGTGTGTGTGTGTGTGTGTGTGTGTGTGTGTGCTGAGGGTGTTGACTGACATGCAAAATTCAAAGGATAGAAATTGACATATTTCCCCTACTCACATGAGTTCATAAAATTGCCTCAAAATGTAAATTGTAGCTGGATGGTGTGGACCCTCTGCAGAAAATCCCGGCTTTTCATCGGCGAACGGTTGATAAGCTTGCAAGTCGAGAGAACAACTTTGGATTTGTCCATTATTCATAAAAAGAGCGTCTAGAATGTAAATAATGCGACGCATTGAAGGACCAAGTGATAGAACTAACAGGAAGAGGCAACGCAGAGGATCGCAGTAAGAGTAGATCTAAAAAAGCAGAGATCAAATTTAGACGCTGAAAGGTTTTAAGTAGGCTGCTTTGACAGAGGTGAAATACTCACTTCAACACTCTGTAGAAATCTGCTGACTATAGGACTGAAATTCGAACCAGTTTGTTCAGACGTTAGATAGTTATTGAGAAAGACATAGATGCGGGAAACGAGATCTTGTGCTTGAATTAAATTACGAATTGGTCGGGTCGAAGCGACACGATAGAGACTAGTAAGAAGACAGGACAGCACAGCGACCATATTACCTTGGCGAAGGTAAACATGTTCACAAAAATCACACCTAAACAGCCAAAAATAACAACTGTGTATTACCTATATCGAGTAAGGAAAAGTACGAGAAATCGGTTCAACGCTTACAAGGAAATGCTCTCAGCTACTTTCAGCAATTCTGGTGAAGCTTCCAGTTTTTGGGCTTTTAGGAGACGGTGAAGAACATCTGAAAGATCCAACCATGGAAGTTCAGTTTCCGTGCAAATATCAAAGCGCTTGGCAATGAACTGCAGTACCTGAAAAGGAGAAAACAAGTGAATAAAATCAAAGGATACTAAGTGGTAACTGCGGTTTTTATCGTACATCAATTATCTTTTGGGATTGGAAAGTTAATTCCATATTTTCTGGCTGTAGAATTTGTTCACAAATGAAACACAAAAGACGTATTAAATCGCCGACTTCAATGGGGAGTATATTTTGACCTGGTTCATCTAGAGCACAGGCGAACAGAGTAGTGATGAGTCTTTGACGAAGATGACAGCTAAAAAGTGAAGACAAAGTTTCAATACAAACAAATCCCCAATCAAGAGGGTTTAATAAATCAAACCTTTGAGCGGTAGATGGGAGCTGTTTGCTAGCAAAAAATTTACTCTCTCGGAGAACTAGTGTAAACATATTTAGGAGATCTGCAGTACCACCAAAATGCAAGAGTACGCGCAAACGTGGTGATGCACATGTGGCCATGGTAGCAGGCTGAGAAAGGATTGATTTTTCATGATCTTCAGGGGAAATTACTTGTGAGGAGAGAAGAAGATTGAAAACCTATTTTCAAATTAAATAGGGCAGAATTCGGTAAAAATAACAAGACCAACAATAACACGAGAACTGCAGTCACCTTGTTGGGGACATCGGGATAGAAAGGGGATTCGAGAGGAATATTGAATACCTCTTCCCCGGCGAAAGAAGATCGAAGAAATAGCAGGATGGCATTAACAGCTTCATTTGTGTTTAGATTACTCAACGAGTCGGTTGAAGAAGCTAAGCGCGAGGCAATTTCACAAAAGCAAAAGAAAAACATGTTGACATAAAAAATGACCACAGATTAGTAATAAAAGTGAAGTGAACCCATAGATTGCTTCAACCCGCTTTAGTCTCAAAAGTTCGAATAATAAATCCCATTCCCCTATGAACTTCAATCGGTGTTGAAAAGCAACAATTTCTTGCGGTTGGAAAAATTTGATGCAACCGAGTTGACATTAATAAAAAAAGCCATAATGACGACACTCGGATCTCCAGAAGTGGAGAGAATTCGAGCAATAACAGTGAAATAGGAGGCTGTAAATTACTGAACCACAGGGGCAACGATCGAAATAGGAACTTCAGCTACCAAAAGCAGGAGTAATTCCAGTGTCCAAATTTTGTGTGTGCGATTTTAATATTCGATGAGGCAAACAATAAACCCACATATTCTTCCAATCGATGTAATGGGGATATGAAAAGCCCTTATTCCAATCGACCAAATCACCACACTATTTAATTAAAATGTTCCCTGATATATCCACTCATCAGCGTTTCAGAATGGTATATAAGACGCGCTATTAGTTACAGTTAGAATGAACTGATGTAGGCCGAGTAGTAGTACCGACGGAGACTTTTCTTTCGTCAGGAGAGTGGGCCCTTGTAATAAGGAGATCTGTAAGCCATCGGAATGCAGTTTCGTGATCCTTCAGCACAAAGGCATAGATGTAAATGAAGCCTTGGTAGAGTCCGTTGGATAAGCAGAACTTGAGAACCTGCAAATATTACAACACAGAGAAGTCAAACTACTGGAATAAAAGATTTAGGGATACTTTAAAGAAAAGGGGAATTCAGCTTGCCTTATCAATATCTAGACTAATAGGAGAGAGTCGAAACAGACATGACTCAGCCAAACGACGACCGTTCTCCATTCTCTGAGTAGACGACTTTCGTAGAGCAGATATGCTCAAAGAAGTTGTACTTAGACTTTTGTCCGTTAGTGAAGAGGAACTCTTAACATGGGTTGATTCTGGAAGATCGATAGTGGGACCATGAACACACCAAGTAAGCATCTCCTTAGTAACATCAGGAGTGAGACAGCGAAGATAGCAATCATTGATATTTGTGGGAACAGTTGATGCATAAATGGGTGGTAGAGTGAGAAGTCGTTGGCATATAGAGCGAAGTAGAAGAGGATAAGACAATGGATCCTGTCGGTAGACTGGAATTACTGATGACTGAAGAAAGTCCCTGTATACGGAGGTAGAAAGAAATGAGTTGCTTGAAATAGAATAACACGATGCTCCAAATTCAATTGAGAACAAGCCATACGAACAATTGATTAGAAACTAGTTTGTTTTGAGGGGCCAAAATAACTATAACTATCACAAATGAATGCGGCACCAGACTTGAAACTTACATCTTATGGTTTAAGCCGTATTTGAATAAAAGACAATTTTGGAAAATCATATCTCAACAAAGAGTATACGATTTTTGAGTTTGACGAATAAGACGCATGCAAAATGATAGACGGGGCAATTCAAACGAGAAAGAAAGTGGACAAAATCAATTCAATTTTGAGAGATTGTAGACAGAAAATTTAACAGAAAACAGATATTTCATTAAGAAGTAAAAATAAATAACTGCGCTGTAAACGTGGCAATTTCCAACGATAATGTGTACTGCACTTGTAAATAAGTGAATAGAAGAAGGGATATGGCTACTTTAAATAACAAGCTGCGAAGAATTATTAATTAGTTTAACATTGTGAATTTTGAATTAAAAATAACAATCCAGGAATACATAACTCACTGTAAATCCGCTGTCACACAAATTTCAACAAGCATAGAGGCGGCCAGAAGCGTGGGCCGTCTTTTTGCATGTGCCAGAGGCATGTGAGACAGAACTTCAAGAAGAGATTCCTTCACACTTGATGGTGACTGTTCCTTCAGAACTTGACAACAACTATTCAAGGCTTCTTCCACCCTACCAGCCTTGAAAAGACTGATAGCACGCTGGAGAAAATGGAAACGGAACAGAACAGTAGAGTAGGGTGGGGTGGGGTGGGGTACTTTATTATTAATGAAAGTTAGAAAGAAAGTTGACGCTTACCTCTGTCCAGGGCTTAAGAGATACCAACGTGATTGCATTTTTACCAAAAACGAGCAATTTCCCCCCAGAGGATGCGAGTGAATTCGCGCAGGCCCGTTCACTGGCACAAGCCTAAGATAAAGGCGAAACAATTGGTGACGAACCTTTAAAACCCTTAATAGGTTCCGTAATCTGGGGAAAAAAGGATAACTTACAAGTGCCTCACTAACTTTGCCACCAATTACCACAGCTTTAAAGGCAGTCGAATTGTAGCAAATTTGAATGGTAGAGAGATTTAGGGACTCAACCTCCTGCCCAACCGAAAGATCGTAAACTCGAAGAATCTCTTCGGCGTCAAGGAAAGCAATATGCTCCAACGTGAAGAACTATAGGATAGCAGAGCAAAAAAATCTGAGAAAAGTCATTGCAAATAAGAGGCAAGCGGAATTCAAGCACCAAACATTAAGGGAGTGGAAATTTAGGCCCTTTGTATACATGTGACAGTTTAAGGTATATTCAGATACTCCTCACCACACTAAAATAGATTGAGATTGACATTTACACCCAAACATAAATGAACTTCTAAGGTATTCCAAAAGCGTTAGAATTGCGTAAATGCCTTTACTTTTTAAAAACAACATGTTCATATCTTACATCTCCCCCACCCCCTCCCTATATAGTGACTGGAATATTTAAAACACTTCACCTTCCTGCACAAAGTGTACTTTTAACGTCAAAGTTAAGAGGTCATTTATTAATCAGATGGAGGCAGTAAATAATAGCCATACCACTAATTAACTCATTGGCCGTTACTTTTAACTGGAGTATTTAATTTGATATTATTGCAATCAAGCTTTGATGACTTCCATAATAAGGCCCTTCATGCAATCTAACCTGAACCCAATCTGACACCAATCATAATAAAAAGGATATCTGTTGAAATATTAAATATTTATCTTTCAACCTCCTCTTCTGCAGAAAATAGTTTTTAAATCCATATCGTTTTTTATGGAAGCTGTTTGATTTTGAAGATAATTAGCGAATAAACACATTTAATTTGGACTATGAGGATGAAAATTCTTCAATATATGTGGTATAGCTTCAGAGAAGTTCTTAGAGAACACAAAGACCTTCCGCATTCATCATTATCAGATAAAAGCTCAAATAAGAACGCTTTCGCATAATTAAAGCGAAAATAGATATTGGATGTGAAGATTGATCTGCCATTGAGAAGAGTCTTTAGCATTTATTTCCAGCCTCGAAAAGTTTAAAACTCTACATTGTTGGAATTAGAGGTATAATAGTGAAACACCCGAATGTACATGACCGACAGGACCGCTGTCCCCCCCCCCCCCCAGCTGCAACAAACAACAATAACTTCAAAATTACAATTATAACAGCATAGGATTAAAGAAACTTACATGCATTGATACAATGCTCTGCTCAACAGAGATACTACGAATGAGCTGAATTCGATGTACAAACTGATGTCCGCCAATACTAAATACACAAGCTCCTGAAGGTACCTCAACAGAGCTGGAAAGAGGTCGAGTAGTTATTCGAGATATGTAGAGGGTGGAAGTGCGAGCAAATCCCAAATAAGCAGTGCTTTCTTCCGAATTTTGAGACTCCGAGAAACACCAGGACCAAGTCAATTGAGGAAGACAGGAGGGTGAACCCTAAAAACAAATGAAAGCGTCCATTACCTGGATGAATTCATTGAGAAATGAATAACATCAGGGCCAAGCAGACCTTAAGGTGTTGCCAAAAGATAACTCGGAGTTTTGGCTTCAGGGCCACCACGATGACCTTGGTAAATGATGCCATAGCAACAATTGCGGAACCAATTAGCGCACGAAATGCAGGCTGACGATGATAATTTTGTAAGAGGCCAAGAGTATGAGTTGGTCGCAGAGGTACAATCGCGCAAATTTCTCCATGACTAAAAGACACGAAGAAATGTATTTAAAGCTTAAAGTGGTACAAGTGAGGAGGGAGAACGCATAACTCACCTGCCTGAGAAAAAACACGAAGAAAAAGTACTGCGGCCAAGAATTCCCCTCCTATATGACAGAGTAAAAGAGAAAATAAGTGCATAGTCTGGCAAGAACCTTATGATGATGCGTATATCACAAGAACTCACCTAAAGTCCATTTCATAAGCTGACCCACTGCTATCAACAGACACGGCAACAGTTGGCAAGGACGTAAAGGCACAAACAATGATAGATTGGCCTTGTTGATGAACGTCATCGATAATTCGTAGTAGTGTGAACGAAGACGAGTTCACTTTTTTGGATTTGAGGTCGTTCTTAGAACCTGTTTGAGCGACTTCTTCGTCAAAACCTTTCTCATCATCGCTGTCAGTACCATCTGATGTCTTTGGCAATTGCCACATTGCAATGCGACCGCTAGCAAAGCCAGTGAGAAGACGGGTGCTTAATAGATTCTGACTAAGTGAGGTGATTGCACCTTGACCAGAGCCAACATCTGTGGTACTCGTGTCAATGGAGCAGATTAATTTTTGACGGCGATCTAGGAGGTATTAACAGTAAATAAGTGATATTACTTGACTTACAAAACGTTACAAATAGTTAATTTTTTATTGAAGATGCACGTTGAACGATGCATTACTGAAAGTTTAAAATATTTAGATAGAGAACATGTAAAACTTGAAAGACGCGTTATCTTTGTGAGGACCACTACAAAAAGTTCCACGAACTAAGCCATCAAAAGTTCTCTGGAAAAAATTAATGTAGTTAGAACGGTAGGACAAATTTTTATGAGCCCTTCAAATGGTAAGGATTAAAAGCATACTCAAAGTACTAACGTGATAAGGCGCTCTTTAATGCGTAAAAAATGCTAATGGATTTTCCGAAATAAGGAAATGAATAAATTAGAAAATACCCAAAATTAAAAAACAAAAAGAAAAGAACAAACTCGCAAATAAAGTTAAGATCTAAACTAAACCATCTTCAAGGAACCTTCAATACGAGTTTACGAGTTTACCCCTATTTAATTTCTAGCTTTTTAAACTCTTTACAATATTACCTCTATGAAGTAAAATATTGCTTGAAGTATAAATTTTTACGCATCTGAAATAGATGGGCTAACATTTCAATATATTTGGACAAGAAACATTAAGATTACCATGAGGGGCTAGCAATTAAAAAATAATACGCCCAATATAAATAAAAATACCCCATAAAAAGAAATAGTAATAAGACTTAACCAATTCATCGCAATTAAATTTTAATAAAATTTTAAAATATGCATGAAAAACTTAAAGCAGACTCACCGAAAGCGAACAAAAACCCGTTATTAGTTCCTACCACTATGAAAGATTGCAAGGACTAAAGAGGAAAGAAGGCAAATAAACAAATAAATATAAGGTTGTTAAGAAATGAAAATTACAATGCAACTAGGCGACCCGCAATTTAGCTTTAAACTCGAGTTCAACAACTGAGTATGGACCGATCTGAGGGAAGCAGAACGAATATAGTTTTGGCAGCTTTGCTGCTGTTGGTGTGAGGGTTTTGAGGTAGTGGAATGATTGAACAATGCGTCATCAGAAACATCAGCGGAGTGAAGAGAAGCAAAACTACCAGTAAATGGGGATGCAGATGGAAGACTGAAAGTTGTGCCATCAAAACCATCTTCAATGGGCAGGTCTTGCAAATCGGCTTCAATATCAGAAGCGAGATCACTTTCATCCGAAAAAATACTGGAAGCGCCTGCGTGGTTTATATCGAACATATACTCACTCATATTTCTAAAGAAGCAACAAAAGGTTTAACGGGCTACGATTTCAGATTAATATAAAACATAAAAGCAAATAAATTGTAAGAATTCATATTAAAGAAAAATTATTAAAACATATAAGCAAATCAATAAAATAAATTCTAGATACATATATTAAAATCGAAGGGATCGATTTAAAAGAACTACTATGCGCCTAAGTAACCAATGATTTCAACGAATGAGCATTAATATATAATTAGACGAAAACATCAGCGCCTCTCAACAATAGCATAATTTTAACTAAAGGGAATATATACGTTTAAAATAAACTATCAAAGTAAATATTAAATTACTAACCAGAAAAAAGACAAAATATATTTCACATAAACTAAAGCCTTCAACAAGCTACAGCCGAATCAGATGTAGAGAAAATTAAATGCGCAGAAGCATGATCGATATATACAAACAAGTAATATTGAGTACTTTTTTGCTTTACAATTAAGTAAATGTTAACAATATTTCCTCAAATTAACATTTAATACTTGGTGTAGCATTACTTTTTTTCAAATGAATACCACCTAACTAATTAACGCAATTGACGTCCATTTATTAAAATATTATTCCGAAAATAAATTAATTCATTTATCTTGATGGTTTATTTTTTATTTAAATGACAAAAACTGTACAAGTACAATAGTAATATTGTTTTATATCGTTTGGAAAGCTAACCTAGAGGAATGCCCTTCAACAGTGACCTGGCCCAGTATTTACTCGTAGAATGCCTATTGGCTGGATAAGTCCATCTGGGGAGTTTAGTCGGTGGGCAACGAAAATGATATATATTCTTTTTCATCGCGTGGACGCAGTGTTGTTCTTTTGCGTTACTATCTTATTATGGGCCTCGCTAATCCCGTATGCTTTTTCCTTTACTTTTGAGTTTAAAATGCTTAGGAAATTATCAATATCTAGGCATTTACCGCAACCCGATCTCCCTATTTTTAATAATTCATTTGTATATGATAATTCCACTGAACGATTTGGTGTTGCCGTCGAAGGAAATCATTTGTCCTATGTTTATGCTAACTGGGATGCTGAGTCTTTGCGGCGAGTGGACGATGTGGAATTGTTTTTGAGTTCATATTTTGATGCCGTAAGGATTTTGATTTATTTTATCCAATAATCTCAGTTGCCTGTAACTGCATTCAGTTGCTGGAGACCTCCGTGTACATCCCTTTATTCTATTTCAAATTTTCCCAAACTGATCTGGTCACATGATTATGGATCGAGTAGCCCAGGTCCTTTTGAACGATATCCGAAGATGTTGCAAAAGGCCAAACGGATATATAATCCTCTGTTTCAAGCAAATTCTTGTGTTGAACTACGAGATATTCTTTCAAACTATGAGGTAAGAGTTTCTTGTTTTCTTTGTAAAATATTTTTCCCCTAAGTTTACCGTGGTTGCCAGAATTGATGCGACGCCTCAACCATCCCCACTGTATCTCAGATACCACGAATTTGCTACTAGAATATTGTCGGCACCTGACGCACTTCAAATTAATGATCACGCCTTCTCGCTGAGCAAAGATTTCGCTTTTGTTATCATGCCAGTTCATTCCAATTCATGCTTTTTGAATTCTTCCCATCCTTTGAATATTGTCTTTCGATCAGGGCGAACGGTAAGTATTGTGAAGCTTGAATCGACTGTCGTAGGTTAAAACCCTCCATGCATTTCATTCCGAGGACTTGTCTGTGAGAAACTTGACGGAATCCTTTTACTTGGCCGTAAAGAGTATGGTTCTCAGTTTAAATGGCTCTAATATGTTGACACTACCTCATCTTTCTACCGCTTTCCCAACTGCTTACAATTTGAGCAAACACAATCCTCTTATTTTTCTCTTTACTGATTCTCAACTTGAGCCTGATCATCAATATGATACAGATGTTTATATGGTTCGTAGTTATTCATTTGAAACCTAATATTTCTGTTAGTTTAAATCGCTTCAGTTGGAATATTCAATATGTGAAAATGCAAACGAGTTTGATTCTCCCATTCCAAAACGAGCAGAGCAGCAGGACAACCTCTATCGGAGATTGCATGAAAGCAAGAGCGAACAGTGTCGTAGGGCTTCCATTTGTCCAATATGGTGGAGAAAGGCACTTGCTTTGTCTAATCAATCACAGTTGAATGTCTGGCTAACCTGTGGATTGCACAAATCTGACATTCCCTTTGCAAGCAATCATTCCGTTCATTCCTTTTCAAAATCGTTTTTGTCGAGTCTCAATGGCCATCCAGTTAGTAAAGGTGAATGCTTTATCTTTTTTGAATTAATGCTTATAAACCTTTTGGGTGTAATTGATGGATGGGGAAATTTAGTCTTGACAAGTTTAAGTAACACTCTTTGCCCTTTTTGCTATCCGTCTTTAATCGTTCAAGTTGAATGGGAATCTCCCCAATTCTAATCCTACAGTGATATTCCGAAAGCTGACTTATAGCATCATGAACTTTTCGGCTTAATCCATAAATATGTTTCTTCATGGTGTATTTGCTATAAAGAACATATATACTTGAGTGTGTATAATGCATTGTGCCATGTTGGTTAATGTAGTGCCAGCAAATAAATGGATACTCATTGATGACGTGGATGGCCGAACACTAAATTACGCTAAGAACCCTTTCGTGATTAATTCCTTATTCCCAATCAAGTATACATCCATCTCATTGCGTATTTTAGCATTGTTTGGCATCTTTGACGTCAATTATGAACATAACATAGTTTATCTTTCCTATCAATTGTTTTTGAAATCATTTCCGAATATAGATGGAATTGATTGTCCATATGATCTGCTTTTCCATTTTTGGCTAGCTTCATTTTACTGCGTCCAATAATGCTACTAAAATGTGCCTGAAATTCGGTTTCCATATTTTTAACTTGTATTATATAACAATGTTTGAACAATTGTAGCTCATACTCTTAATTACATCAAAATTTTTATTCTCATTCAGTTATTCTTATTTTTTATAGGCCTTTTATGTGTCATTACGACTGATAATGGCTTCACTTTAACTTTTAACTGGCAGAAGCCACACTACTTCGTGTCCAGCATTTCTCTATTTAGTTTAAATAAATTCTACTTACTAATAGTTAAGTACAAATAATTCCATCTTGTAGATTTTATTAGTTTGGCTGCCCATCTACTGAATTACAATCTTAACCCATACGATGATGTCTCTCAACATGAGGGAATTGAGGACATATTCGTTATTCGGACGCTAAATCGTCGATGTTGCGAATTTGCAATTCAAGAAGCTACCCATCATTCGGGTATATTTAACACTCAAGACGTACGAGCTTACGCAATAGATCTCATTCGAGGAAGGGCGAAACCCGAGTACAACCGTCTTTGCCAAAACTCCTCCCCCATAAACTATGCGAAAGTCAAGATGAATGCAGCTAATATAACTGCCATGGGTTGTCATAGATGGGGCAACGGTAGCCTCACATTTGCCACTATTTCCAGTTACAATTCACCGCACTGGGTTCGTGATCTATTTGGTGAGAACAAAAGCCAACTTCCGCGAGTTGCTATTGTCGATGCTAGGGTAAAAATTTGCCTCTTCTAACCCTAATAGCTTCAAACCACTTATTTGCTTCATTTTATTTACAGTCTGAGGTGATTTATTCGATGAAGACCGGCCTCACATACGAAAATATTGGTACGTGTTGGTTTCGATTTTATCTTATTTTCAATTATTTTCATTAATCCCATTTAAATTTATGACTATGGGTGAGGCCATTAAAAAATATTTTTATTGGAAGTGGCAGGTGCGTGCGATTGAATGAAATTAAATGAACTTTATATATTCTTTTAGCGAAATTCATTGCGCAGTTCCACAATGACACCCTTGATCGCAATCTCATTTCCAACTCTAAGCCAACAGCCAGAGAAGTGACTGATAACTTCCGGGAGGCTTGTAGTGCTCAGGAGTTGCAAGATCTAATTGAGCAGGAGGGCAAGGACGTGGTTGTCCTCTTCTATGGGAGGTACTGTGGCTATGCCACCCATGGCCGAGGTGCGCTCTATGAGTTTCGATCTGTTGCCAGGCACTTCGCTCGTCGTACATCGCCCTTCTTCGTGGTGTAAGTTTACATTTTCTGTTTTCTCTTTGGGCACACTTTAATTACCGTTTGAGAAATCAACCAATTATCTTGTGAATGTCTAGTTGTTGCCAGTCATTATGACCCATTTGACTTTCCATTTTAATAATCCACTTGGATTCAAATTCATGAGAAGAATGAATGATTAATGGGAATGACCGATCAATTAGCCTTTTACTTACAGTGGATTAAGTCAAATAGAATTTGGTTATTGGGATCAAATTTGAACAAATATTGAGAACGCACGGAACAATCATCAAATCGCTTCCTTCAATTAGAATACTTAAGACAGTGTGGTTAGGATTTTTGGGGAAACAAGTTTTAGAGGAAGTTAGGTCGTATAAAGGAGCTTAAATGCATGGAAACTTAAGCAGATAGAGTTTTAGACCAATAAAGTGTGAGAGAAGAACTTATTTCGTTTGTATGATTGACCCCGTAATATGTTAGAGTGCCATATGTGAGCATCTGTGTGTAAATTGACGGGATATCTAATTACTTAAAAGAATGTATTAATAGTAATCTATTGCCAATTTATAGGATTGATGTCGACAGGATTCAATTGCCTTGGTCCCTTACGGTCGAGTATGTACCCGCTGTGATATTCTTCCCGAGCAAACGGTAATTTGATTTCTTCCTTCAATTTTTATATCGGTTTTTTGAGACAAGCAAGCATATGGTACAAAAATTCTCCAACTTTAGAAAAAATCGATTTTATATTAAACGGCTGGTTTAACCCCCCCCCCCCTCTTCCTGGTGTTTATTTTTAAATATGGTTAACTGACTTCTGAGATCAAATAACTGCTCATTTGATTTTACAAAGAGCTACTAGTTTTCAAATAGAAAGATAAGCACGACCATCTTTCCTAGTTATTATAATAATTTTCAAAGATATCTGAAAAGTTCATAACTTATATTAAGAGGCTTTGCAATGTAAAATTAATGAGTTTCATACACCCACAAATAATAAATATTTTGGTAATTTTGTTATTCTCCATTAAAAGCTGAAAACCTTGGTGAAAAGCCTTTGAATCTGCTTTTTTCACCACTACTGTTTTATTTAACTTTAGAAAATCAAATTCCATAGTCTTTCCACAAGTGTTGCTAGCATCAACAGATCTATTTTCCAACCTCGTCACTTTCATTAACAAGCATGCAGAGGCTTCAAATGCTAGCACAGATAGCGTCGAAAACGCCAGTTCATCTTCCCTCTACGATTCATTCCGAATGGCCGATCATCTCCGTGTGCATTTGACCCAAATTGCCAAATCAGAGAACCTTCTGGAAAACCTACTCGAGCGTTTATCTACTGGACTTGAAGAGCTAAACACTGTATTGCATACCCACACCATGCGATATGCTGCATATACCACCACCGGGCGTCTACTTCTTGAACGACTTCTGTTCAGCAGGGAAAAACTTTCTTCCCTTTGGAATCACTTTAAACGAGTCCAAAAACATCTATTAAAAGAGCGTAAGGCGACGCTGGCAGTCAAAGCTACTTTGTTGTCGAACACTTTATAATCTGGAATAACTTTTGTGTTTAATACTATCACTACTTATACTTTTTTCAATCGTGAGGTAAGAAATTGTGCTTTCTTAATTCAATTTAGTGTTTGAAGATGGGTAAAATTTAAAGATAGGTCGCTTCCTGGCGCTTTGATAGTCGACCTCACTGTTTTTTTTCTGGTCATTAATAAAAATAGTAGGATGCGGTTTCAACTAACCTCGTATTATTTAACCTTGGAAAGTTTTGCTGTGGTCAAAAAGTGTACAAACGTTCTGAATCGTTTAATACCAACTTTGTCGAAGCATACTAGAACGACGGTAATGCGCTAGCAGGCACCTGTATTTATGACTATATAGGAATATTTTAAGTACATCTCAAGTTGTATGTAATCATTTTTTCTCCATCCATGGGGGGGGGGGGGGGAAAGAGGTGATGAATTGAAATGGAAAGACCGACCAGTGAGTACTCGATATGGTTGGCAAAAACGTGTGAAGTAAGCAGTGCAACATATCATGGAGCTTCAATTTTGAGACATAGATTAAGCATGTATGAACCAGCAAGACTCTTGAGGTTAATTATAACCATATTTAAAACTTTCCCATCCTTTCATTAGACTTGGCCGTTTCAATATAGAAAATGCTAGATTGCCTTTCCATGAAATATTATAAAGTAATAGCATTTAATATGAAAAATTTATATTTTCCGAGAGTCTATAATGTAAATGTCCACTCAAAATTATTGAATAAGAATCATGTGTAGGAGTGTCAGGAACGCCGATGTCCAAAGGGATGGAAAGTGATTCAGAGTTGAAGGTAAATGATGGCAGCGCTTTACCTCTCGTTTACTGGTATCACGGTTTGAGTACAATTGGGAATATATTTTTTAAATCAGAACTAATGAGCACTGGGGTGGATTCATGTGGAAAACTAGACGAGCGAATGATAATTTGCAATGTAAGCATTAGCCAAGATAGTGTTAACTTTGTCAAAAGCTCTCCCCCGGCCTATCTAAACCATTAATATTTTGTAGTATTCCGAGGAAATGGACTTTTATTAGTTTTAAGTAACCTCCTACACATCCTTCATCAGCCTCAACAAGCGATTCCCCAAGAATAAGTAAAAAGTTTTTTTGTACTTTCCATCTGATTGCCTTGTCGATGCATTGTGGTTATGATTGCCAATTTTACTTACAGTCGGGGTTTATTCTTCCATTTTGTACAAACCTCCTCAAGAGATTTAAGAAGACCTCCCACAATACGATGACTCGGACTTGATACTTTCCGTATCCATGAGTTAGCAAGCTGTAGAGCGCATGACGATAACATAGCATAGAAAAACTTCAAAGGAAAATACGAATAAGATTTAAAAATACCTAATTTCGGTAGAGTGAATATATCCTGAAGTTGGTCTTTCAAAAAATCCACATTTCAACACTTGTCTCGTTGACAAAATTTAACCAGGTGGTGAGTCAATCACTCAATCACGACCTCCAGCTCAGAATACTGGCACGCTGAACACAAAAACTGAATAAAATCATGATTATTAATAATTTACCCTCAAGGTGAATTAATTGTTGATGATGATGATGATGATGTTCAGTAGACTAATAGTGATACATTAAATACTTTTCACAAATTCTGTTAATAGGAAATAAAAAAGGAAATGGCTAACTCGGATATCCAATATACAAATCTTATTTAATTCAATAGGACACGAAACCGAGGTCGAGTTAGATTAGTTAATATATAAAATGATTTAATCCATTTAGTTGGCAATGATTTTAGGTGTCAGATTTATTCTTGAAAAAATTAATGGTGCTGTCTTTCGTGAGATTGGTGACCTCTGCAGAAACAACAAGGACACGGTAGAGGTGCTTTACCTCAAAAGGAAAATTACCTTCTATTAAAATTTCCCATTTCAATATAACTGACGATGATATAGAATTCGGACAGCTCGTCGACTGTCAATAGCGCCAAAACTACAAATTTTCGCTAAACTAATTGTTGATGCATTATAAATATGAATTCATCTAACAATATTCATGTTATCAATTTCCAGTGAGAGATTGCATTAAATAGCCAATTGTCATATTTGCCGAAGTTCCAGACATAATTAAATACAAAATCTCTAATTTTTTGAAACTCATCATTTATTATTAGTTTACGTTAGCCTTCAAAATCTTAACGATATTTTGATGTCTCCGAATGATGTTCAATCGATACTATATGGGCTGGCAATTATACCTCGATTTAATTGGTAATGAGAAAGCCAAAATGCATAGCTCTAAATCAATACGGCAGAGACTTAATGAGATCAGAATTCTAATTCAACAAAAATCAAATTTAAAACTTCTTAATATAAATTTATCATCTACCAGGAATATAATTTTCGATTCTTTACCTATATCCATTCCTCAATCATATGTGCAAGATCGTAATTTATATTAATCAGATTCGAATAAGTAGATGAATAGTATAGAAGTAGTACTTTGGAATTAGAGTATTTGCATATCCTCTTGATTTTAACACAGTTTAGATTGTAAAGAAAATATTGACATTTTCTTGTCCTTGCTAAAGAAATGGCATATTTTCAGCTTCTATCTCTAAATAAAATACCTCTATTGCTCATGAATCTATGAATACACAGTGACGCAGTGACGTGCGAGTGAGACAACTAGAACACAAACTTGGAAAAAGATATGCGCTCTTTACCAAACTAATGGTGAACTGATTCATTTAGTAACCATCACATCAAATAATGGTCAGATTCATAAATATTTAAAATAAAATTCTTCTAAAGGTAATGTTAATCATTTTTCTTTGCATTAATTCAAATGGTAATTTAATGAAATGGCGATTGGCTTCGTCGGTATTGCTCGTCAACATTATATATCTAAACTAGTTCATGAAAGTATCTTATTTATCATTAAGAATTTCGTAATTCAAATCAGTTAAGACAAAAATGAATACACAATATTTTTAGAGAAATATTTTTAATCATTAAAACATTTCATATACATTGATTCTTTCAACTTTAAGTTTTATTTTTAAGGAATTCCTTTCTTAGAAAGCCGAAACCTTGTGGTATAAAAATACTAATATGGCTTAAAATAAATATATAATGGGAAAGATAATTCATTATTTCTTAACATTAATGCTATTTAATATATTTAAAGTAGGTTCCCTGCAGTGATTATAATTTACGGTGACTAACCTATCCGAGCAAAGCACAATCGTGGCGTCTCTGTTTGGCTCACGTCGATTGTTCACTTCTGCTTTAAGGGTTACCATGTCGTCTTACACCTCAAAATGTTTTGGAGAATCAAATACAGCTGATTTTCGCATGTTTTTCTGTATGATTTTTTATTTGCTTGAGCTTTTAAGTGCTCACTCAAAATGACTTCTATCGAATTTCAGTTTTTCATTCCCACTACTTTAGACTCTAACGATGGTCCTATTTCACCATTCCATGATATTCCACTTCGAAGTTCTCCTGATGCCTTTAATATGGTTGTTGAGATTCCACGTTGGACCAATGCTAAGATGGAGATATGCAAAGAGGAACTTCTTAATCCAATTAAGCAAGACGTAAAGAAGGGCAAACTCCGCTATGTTAACAACGTTTTCCCTCACAAAGGTTACATTTGGAATTACGGTGCTTTGCCTCAAACGTATGAAGATCCAGCTCATGTGGACGTAAATACCAAGTCTAAGGGTGATAATGACCCTATTGACGTTTGTGAAATTGGTAACCGAATTTTTCCAAGCGGAAGTGTTATCAAAGTCAAAGTCCTCGGTATCCTTGCTATGATTGATGAAGGTACATTTTTTCAACCTTTCTCTTTTCCTACTTCAGATTTATCATTTCATTATTTGATTCTTTGTAGGCGAAACTGATTGGAAAGTCATTGCTATAAATGTCGAAGATCCGCTTTCTGAGAAACTGAATGACATTGCAGACGTCGAGAAGCACATGCCTGGGTTCCTTGATGTAAGACCGCACTGTTCAACTTATCATTTTTAATGTTAATTTCTCATTTGGTTCCTTTCTAATTTTATTTAGGCAACAAAGGATTGGTTCCGTAATTACAAGGTGCCAACTGGTAAGCCTAAAAATACTTTCGCTTTCAATGAAGAGTACAAAGACAAAGTAAGCTCCGCGATTTTTCGCTAGCTCTGGTTTGGCAGCTTTAAACATTTCTCATTCTGTTATAATTTTAGGCCTTTGCTCTCAAAATCATCGAGGAAACCCATGAACAATGGAAACGCTTGATTCTCAAGAAGTCTGATTCATCTGGTCTCTTCAGGTATGTTAAATATCTCTCTCCTCAAGTTTTAATTGTCATTATAACCATCAGTTGTACAGAGGGGCCAGATTAGGTCCTGGTGCATAAGAGTAAATTAATGGTTTATTTTCATTTAAAAGTACTAAATACGGGTATTACGTGACCCCGAGCAAACGCTCACCATCTTACTATGTCACAAGTCACAGAGCCTGTTATTTTGGGCGCAATCTTTACCTAATGTTTATTCAATCACTGTGGTGATGTAGATGTAGAGATGGGCGTACAACAAGCACACATTTATTGAAGATTTACTCTATGAGAGCTTGAATAAGTTGGCTTTCAGTAAGTTTATATTAGTTGGCTTTTTGGCTCAGTACCGCTATCAGTTAATTGCTTTTGTAAGGGCGGTTATGTTAGTGTGTGCTGATAAGAAATTTAAGCATTTCGTTATTATAGACAGAACGTTGCCAATAAAGACAGCCCCTACCTTATTTCTCATGAAGATGCCAAGGTTGAATTGGGCAAGCTTCCCCCTTTCAAGGAGGGCCCGAAAGTCACTGATTCTGCTGGTATGGAGCTTTTTTTAAAATAAATCCTCTACCTTTATGTGCTTTACTTGCAAAGATTTATTAATTTTTTTCTTTTTAGTTGAAGAGATACACTTCGTTTCTGGTTAAGATCAGCAAGGTCGCTTATTAAAGTTACATTTCGCTAGCTACATTGTGTAATTCCAAATTGCATAAATTCATTGTGTAATATCTCTCTATTTAATATTGTTGTTATTGTTTAATGTTTTCGCTGTTTAAAGTAGCGCACGTTCTTGCGATGAAGGTCGTTGAAGTGTTCAGCCGAATTCGCGTTTGGGCTATCCACTTATATAGCGTAAGATCTTTAATATCTTCAAAAATCAGGTGATGTCGCTGATACGTCACTCGGCATATTTTGTCGATCTCTGAATTCGGTAGTCATTTTATATCTTCTCCAACATGCAGGATAAATAGTATGTCCCGGGAACTCTCCTTTTCTTGTATTAGTTGTCTATTATAATTGTATGAAAGAGGTACCCGGTCGCAGTCCTTTCAAATCCTGTAAATTGGCACCTCGAAGCGGTTGAATGTGTAGGCGCATTGCAACGTATCATTAATTGCAATTATGCCTTGGTGCTGATCTCGTATTTATCTACTGATCTTATAGGCTAACGCGATACCATAACTTTGTTCAAAGTAAAAGCAACAATAAATGCGGTGGATTGAGTCTCACAAACACTTTGTAAATTGATGATCCCTAGAATTTCAGTGACAGTAACGGTGAGCAGTATCTAGAGATAGTCAATTCCTCCTCAATATTCCTCTACTTGAGCTGATGGTAAACTTGAGTGGTTTATGATTGATACTGATGGTTGTAGAGAGATGAAGCACTTCTGAATTCTAAAGAGCCACAACTCCACATCTATTCACTCTACCAATTGGTGTTAATTTGCATAGTTAGCTTAGCTACTTTCACGAGGATGTGTTAGTACACGAACTTCCATTCTCAAACAAATATCTTCTGAGACTCACACAATACCTAGTCTTCGATGGTGCCGAATCAACTTGCCACTCCTGGAGGTGGTGGTGGGGTGAGGCTAAAAGGACTGTAAAGGGGGGCTGGTGAATTTTGAAAAATGAAAGTTGGAGAACAGGCCAAGTTAAGATGTGAATATGCTTAGAGGAGTGTACATAAACAAATGTAGTTTAGATGAATATGATACATGTAGACAGTTAGGCCAAGTGAAAGCTACCCTTCGTCAACTTTATCATTCCGGGTTCAAACGTGTCATTCCTGTACTCTGTTGATACGAAGTGAAGTTGTAAGATTTCTGAAAACTTTCTATTCAAAAGTGCATATTTGAGGGTTTATTACTTTTAGCAGGTCGCAGTGGTTCCTTCATACAAGGTGTTGATGGTCACGGATTTGATGCATATGGGGAAGCAATTTGTGAGCACAAGAGAAGGCAGCACTAGTCAGATAAGACTAATAAGTAGCTCTACGAAAGTCTATTTCTCTAACTCATTTCTATGGCGTATCTTGCTTCGCTGAATATCTTTCGACATTGATCACTTGGAAGCGGGAAAGTTATAATATTCATTGAGCGAATCTTGGACAAGTTGAACGACGCTATGGTTAAACGACTGTTAGTTCAAACAGAAATCACCCATGGAAAATAAACCAGATTGAAATGAAACTTGTGTTAAAATGAATTTCAAAATCTAATAAAACTGCTGCAGAAATGTGACTTTCATGTAACATTTGAATCATGTCATTAAACTTTTCCTACATCCTCTTTTGCTCTCTTCTTAGGGATTACATTTTTCCTCTTCAACCTTTCTTTCTTCCTCTCTTGAATCCATATAAAAAGAGACTAAAAATTGTTCGTCTAGGACAATAAAACTGGAAGGTTGAAGGAAGCAACATGTGGGAATGGGAGAGAAGTGCATTTAGTTGATGTGTGACAAAAATAGACACCTTGAAGTTGTGTCAGGAGTAGTATTACGACCGGTAAATACAATCAAGCTGTCTCGGGGCTGTTGAAGTTGTAGTCTCACCCCAGATTAGTGTTAATGACAATTTAACACTATCCAGTGGACATCTAAGTTTCAGGAAACTGTTATATTTGCTTATGCGGATATCATAAGTATTTGGCTGGAAACTGAATGAAGAAGCTGTACATTTCGTTTTCCTATTGTCCGACAATGTCAATCGTGGAAAAGTGGACACTTATTCCCAGCACCGTGACTTTGTAGACCTTTCTTTCTTCTACACTCTCGTTACTGCCACATTGGTCTAGATACAGGTTCTTTAACGAATGCCCACTTCCTTCTGGACAAATCCTCTCCACTGGGTTGAACCTCAACGAGGAGGATTCTAGTATCTTAGCATGAATTTGGGGATAAACACTATGATGCATGTCATGTTTCCCATCCCAACTTGTTTTAGCAGATTTCATGTAAAAATGAATAATACCATGGAGACTAAAATTGATTAGTACGTCAAGAATTGCAAGAGAAACTACACCTGGAAAGTTACCATCTCCTAAGTAATAGATGATGAAATTATATTTTATAATGATGGCCGAAATGTTCAAAGTACATTTAATTTCTCAAATTGAGAATTCCCACTTTACTTTGCACAGTGATGCAAGTGAAAAATTGCAAGTTGAAGAATGTGACTGGTTTTCAAAACTTTCCAATCGTAAAATGTTATCACATTGTGTTCATTGTTAGAGCTCACTTTGAATGAAAAATTTGAATTCGTTAAAGCTCTGAAATTTAGTCAGTCTCAGTCAAATTCTATCAGTTGGCAAGACGATGTGACACAATGATATGAACAACTATTCAATTATATCAAATCTTCGACGGTGACTGAGTAAAATGAATAATAATTCCACAGTTCAAGATTTGAAAGATGAGCATGGAGATACATCGCTAGTGAGATAGTAAACAATAGAACTTGCCTGGCTTTGAGGTGACGCCTAATCTTGATATTCTGACTTCATTAACTTCTCAAATCCCACCCCATCCGCCAACTAAGTCGTTTACCCATTTTGATCGTTCAGTTTTCTAATAATTGTTATTAGCATATAATTTTTATTCTACTTCATAAAAGATTAATTCTTGAGTTTGTCTGGGTTCAGTTAGAATGATATAATGCGAAGCAGAATATTCTATCGAATGCGATTTGACTTCCCAAGTACTGTGATCTCGATGCAAATATGATTTTGGTTATGATTCGAATTTCATGGCCTCCACATCAGTGTCTCGATTATCCTGTCTTGGAGTACTGAGGGACAAGTTAACTAAAAGTAAAGTAGTATTGTCCAAGTAATAAATAGTTATTATCCCCAAGCCAGGTAAACTTCTTGAAATTATTTATTTTTTACATTATTTCATGACATTTTTGAAAAATTCATTTAAAACGATCTAATCGGGTGACAGCATTTTAAAGTAGAATTAAGCACCAATTGAACAATAATTTACCAATAGCCTTCAAGTATCAAAATCGTCCCTCAAGGTCAGGATAAAAGGGGGCTTTTTATTGGTTTATGTAACCAGCCAATTTAGCCTACTTAACACCATTTTTTCTGTAATTACGAACGGAGCATAATGCATCAAGGAGTCGCCATTATAGACGTGGCCTTAGTTAATGGGTCACATGTGGAGAGAATCCGATGGTGAACATTATGTAAGTGATTGAAATCTCTGCCAAAACATTGCTTTGATTCCTGCCTCAATCACCTTCACAGGTAGCCACATTTTAGTCTGATAAAAGTAGTTTTAGGTTTACACTATTGATTATGCAAATGCTCCCTTAATTACAGCAATTCTTTCAGTAGAGTAGAAAGCTGCATTAATTAATATAAGTGAGCCAGTTAATGACGCTAAAACGATAATTCGAATCAATACTTTACGAGGTCCAAGTTTCTTCGCTTTACGACTGCAAAAGGAGAGCAAACAACTGCAGAGGAAATCTGGAATGCACGATGCAAATCGTTAATTACTTATACTTCATGCAAATGTAATGACAGAGCACTTACTTAAGTGACTACAACCTTTCCGTTTGGCTAATGAAAACACAAGACCATTAGCACACTGGCTGCTAATGCCCCCTTGCGCACGATGCAATTTGTTCCAGTAGGGCGCCTCATTATTCCAACTCATGATCTAACATTAACTAACATCGATGCTTTGATTTCCCAAAGGCACTGCAAAGCAATGAGTGGGTAGGGGCAGCCACGCCTACATAAGCTCCTCCAATTGCACAGTTGTCAGTTTTGCGTGACCTTGAAATAGCACACACGAATATAAGAGGGCCTGTAAATTGAGAAACTCCAAACAGGTTCTCGGCATCATCTTGTAACTACCTTGTAAGATTATATATGCATTTTATTTTATTATCATAACGTACAGATTCA